TGGCGGCTAGGAATTTTTGTGCTCTGATACCAAATTGTTAATAGAAACCCTAATACATTAAGAGATTTCTTGTGCTTTATATAGGCCCCTACACAACTTACAAATAAGTCCCTAACTAATACTAATATGTCAACAATATAGATGATAGTAAAAATTCATAATGTAAGTGTAAACGTACATTCCACATTTGCTCATTACACATTAATATGTGAACGTACCAAATTAAATTTTATTTAAGTATGTGTTTTTAGAATCGCAAACTAGACTTCATGCTATAGCATCATAAGTTATTATATTTATAAGATGGAACTCTTTGGAAAAGGTGAATAGTTTTTTTGCTTCATGGGCTATATAGCAGACCCCATCACCAAATAGGTATGGATCACATAATTCCATCTCTTGCATCATACGTGCCCACCACGAACTGAAATCTTCAAAAAGAACCCTTTTCGCTCAAAAAAAAAAAGATCTGCTCCCTAACCCCTGCATGAGGAGGCAAGAGTAATTTTTTAAGCCTCATGCGGATTTGTTAGCCTGTCTACTGACGGGTTAACTGGGGTCCATTCATCACGTGAGGGTTTATTATTACATGGGGATTTTTGTTGTTTGGAGATGAGGAGTTGGACACGGTGCCTAAGGGTTTAATGGGTTATAATGCTGGGTTAAGGGCTTCGCGCAAATGCCTTGTAACTGTTAGGGGCTGATCTGACTTTGAGCTCTGTGGTTGGAGTTCAGAGATGAGCAAATATTGTTCTAAGCATGCAAATGCTTCTGTAATAGAATAGTTTGTAGTTATTTGAGTATTCGAACTAATCTTCTGCTTTCTTCTTTTGTTTTACTATGTAGTTGATAGAAGAGGACAGCTGGTTTCATTTTGATGATAGCTTTGTTTCTCCGGCAAGTGAAGATTCAATCCAGACAACAGCGGCATATGTTCTTTTTTACAGGAGAGTCCAGGTTGATACGGAAAAGTCTAATAATACAGAAATGGGCAATGGGGAGGAGCCGTCTTCTAGCGCTAACTCCTTGACATGAAACAGAACCCCAAAGTTTTGCACATTTTCATCGCTCTTGCTCGTTTTTCTGACGGCAGCGTTCCCGTTCTATTCTTTTTGCTATACAATTGAGGGATGGTGAATTTTGCTACTACATTGGACAGGCCGCCGCAGTTTTGTGGTGACTGAATTTGGAGGTGTTTCATTCATTGGCATACTTGGGTGTCTTCAATACCAAAACACTGTGAAGCGTTTATATACCGAGGCGTTAGTCTTATACTAGAAATTTTTGTATGTAGATTAGAAATTATTATTCAAGGCGCCCATTTATTGGTCGTCTCAAGTCGAAGTGAATATAAGGTTCTATTGTCTTGCTGTTATTACTAATTTTCTCATCTGCGCTGGTTGTTTTGGTAATGCCGATGCTAGTATTTTCTTTCAGTTAGAAGTTGGTGTAGTGTTTGATTAGGAAGGATGAGAAGTGGGCGGTTGCAGCGTTGTGTGACAGTGCGTGTATGCGCGCATGCGGTGCGTGCAGGTGCACGTTTGTGTGAATTAAAACTCCTATAAACTTAATTTGGTTTTTTTTTCTGATGAGATAAATGAAGATATAAATTTCAAAGATATCATTGATGTGTACCACAAATCTTAAAACATAATGAAAAGATAAAAAGTTTGGTGGACAAGTGCGTCTATCCACTTAAGTATACATATATAGAGAGAAATTGGACAACATTGGTACCAAGTTTCTACATTGAACTTGGTAGTGATGTGGAGAGATTTGGCTCCTACATCATGCCTAAAAAATAAAGCCTCAATCAATTTTCACTTACTCCAAAATAGAGGTTTTATTTTTGAGGAGTGATGTAGGGGTTAGATTTGTCCACATCAGTTCTAGATTTTGACATTGGTCAGCGACGTCGCAGTACCAGAAGTATTTCGGACTACTAGATAAATTACTGAGTATGCTGGAAACTGAAGAAGTCAAGAAACCGAAGCCACTTACGGGTCCTTCTACAAGACCAACGTTAGGCAAAATTAGGGTCTATCTTGTCCAAAGTATTTCACATTCCTCGATAAAATACTGAGGAGGCTGAAAACTTTGGATGAGGTATCTGTAGGCATTAAAAATTGCTATAGGTCTCAAGCACAACTCCTGATGGAGAGAAGATGAAGAACGCCATCATTTAAATTAGAGGAGATCATCCGATGCAAAAGGAAACAAAGAAGAGTGTAAACAAACTCAAGGACTCGGAGATGTCTCACAGTTAATGAGACAGTCTTCACTGTCTCACATAGCCGAGACAACATAGACTATCTCGGCTATGCGAGACAGTGGGAGCCATAGACTATCTCGGCTATGCGAGACAGTGGGAGCTGTCTCGCTAACTGCGAGACAACTTCCCATGTTTTCTGACGGTTTTGTGACGCTTTGCGGGGATCACGTGGCTCCATAACTGTTTTGGCAAAGCGTCACGTGGCTCCATAACTGTTTTGGAACGTTCATTAACGTTAATGGACGGTTACACACGGGAGATATGCCCACTAACCACGAAGATTATGGTATTTAACGCAATTTAAGTAGTGGGGCGGCAGTTACAAACTGGCTGGAGCCACCTCATTTGGCCGTGACAGTAAAAATTATCTCGCCCAAAGGAGATTAAGATCACCAGTTGTTTCAACTTCTTTTTGACAGTTTTGACTTCCAAAGGCTATAAATATCCTTGGCACACTTGTGCACGGTACCAAGCATTGAGCACAAAGCAGAGACTAATATTTGGCGAACTTTGAGAGCAAGGCAGAGTTATTCATCCACTTTCAAGTATTCTCAAAGCCTTCCGGTTTCCTCGAGTTCAACCTTGATTTGTTCTTGAGAAGAGTGTTTATCTTACCTTGCTAAAATATTCACTTCAGTTTTTGTTTCCATGTCGAAACATCAACGTCAAACGTTCTTCGCATCCGACTTGGATTGTTAAATCGGTGGTCCACGAATTACGCTTCCCCGACACAGGCAAAGATCTCATGCAAGCAGGAGCTACTTTGTAGGAGTTCTTGTGTGTGTTTCTAGGGAGCACAACAATTTTGTTTTTATTGTAAAGAGAAGTTTTACGCGTGTAAGGCTCACTCTTTTATTTCCGTTAAAACATTTGTAATGGAATCTGCAATGAAAATTGTTCCCAACGCAAACAAACGCCAGCTAGGGGTGACAAACGGGTCGGGTCAGGTCGGGTCATAGTTGACCCGACCCGTATAAGTGTGGCCCAACTCGACCTGTTTAATAAGGGGCTGTTTGGTTGTATGTTTTTACCACGTAAAAGGATGGAAAGTGTAAAAAAGTGGGTTCCAATGTCAGCTTTCATCACTTTACATTGTTTGTTTAAATTCTCTTTTACATGAAAAACTTACACATTTTGATGAGGTGTCACCGAAAGCAAAATCAACAAAATTAGGAGTGATTTTGTTGGAAAGCTGACACAATGTCATAAACGTGTCCAAAAAATAATAAAAAAGTCAAAACCTTATAGAAAGTGGTGAGGTGGATAATCACTTTCCATTTTGTGTCATAAATACTTAGTTTACAGTTTACTATCCAAACAATGTAATGCTATTATTTTAGGATTCACAAAGATTCCTAACCAAACAATGTAAATACTCGAATGGAAAGTGGTGAGGTGGATAATAACTTTCTATTTTGTGTCATAAATACTTTAGTTTCCTAAAGCCATCCAAACAGCTCCTAAATGACTCAATGTGATCCAACCCGTTTACTCAAAGGGTTACCCGACCCGACCCAACCCGAAAGTAGGCGAGGTTCTTCTTGCCACGTAGAGGAAGGAGCTTTGCCATTAGTTTCACTTCATTCTAGTTAACCTCCTCCTCCTCCTCTTCCTTTACTCTAATCCCCTAAGAAATCTCCAAAGATTTTGATCTCTCAATCAAAATGCAACAGTTGGAGGTTTCCCCCTCCTCATCGTCACTGGAATCTCGATAGAATTTGAACCCGTTTCCTAATCAAAATGCAACAGTTGGAGGTTTCCTAATCTGATCGATGACTCCGACCACGGGCGGCGGTTGGAGAGGGCGGCGGAGGAGGCGGAGGAGTGCTAAAAATGAATATTCCGAACTGATGTTGCTCATTTCTCACCTTCCTCAGGAAAATGGCCACCGCCCATCGAAGGAACTTATTGTATTTTATTTTATTTTATTTTAGTTCATTAAATGAATCTAGATTAGGCCAAACTTATATGGGTCGGGTCAGGAGACTGAGTTCAAGAGAATTATTATGCATAACACTAGCACTAAAGTTGCCACTGCCAGCTAGGGTGGCAAACGGGTCGGGTCGGGTCATAGTTGACCCGACTCGTATAAGTGTGATCCGACCCGACCCGACCCGACCCGACCCGTTTAATAAATGGGTCAATGTGATCTGATCCGTTTTTTAAAAGTGTTACCCGACCCGACCGAAAATAGGCGAGGTTCTCTCCACATATCTACTTCTCTATACTTATAGGAGGATCCAAAGACTATTCATGCTGCGGTAAATACTACAGCAAATTATCATAGTATTATTACTATAGCACAGGTGGGATATTACAGAATTTAAAAATATCATAGTAGAATTTTAAAAATTACTGTAGTAGGAATAAAAAATAGGATCGTGCTTTGCGCAGGGTGCACACTAGTATAGGTACAATAGCCGAGAGGATGATGACTTGTTTGTTGACACGAAGAGAGAGATGTGATGAGAGTTTTGCATGAATTCCATGTAGGACGCCAATTTGCTATTTGGTCTAAAATGACGAAAATCATTGGTTATAGTCCATATAAATTCATGAATTTTGAAATATGCATTAAATATTATTTGATGGACGACAGTTCGTAGTATGATCGAAAACAATCAAAATAACGGGTTACTAGTCCACATAAATTTGAGAATTTTATTATATGCATAAAATATTATAAAAGGGGCAACGATTTGTGGAAAGTGGACAAATCATGTGTTGTAGTCCATAAAATTCAAAAATTTTGGAATATTCATAGCACATTTTATGCGGGATAGTAATTTGTGAGTTGTGGAAAATAAAAAATAGGTAATAGGCCACATAAGTTCAAGAATTTTGAAATATGCATAAAATATACTTTGTTGGAAGACAATTTGTGATTTGGTCTAAAACAACCAAAATAATGGGTTATGGTCAACAAAATATTAAAAATTTCGGAATGCACATAAGATATTCTACGAGGGTCAACAATTTGTTACGTCGCTAAAAATGACAAAAATCATGGGTTATACCCTACAAAAATTCAAAAACTTTGTAGTATTCATAAAATGTTATGGGGGATGGCAATTTTATGATTAGGTCAAAAATGGCAAAAACATGGGTCATATAGTCCACATAAACTCGAGAAGTTCAAAATATGCATAAAATATTATTTGTTGACAATAATTCGTGATTTGGTCATAAAATAACTAAAAATCATGAGTTATAATCCATAAAAATCCTATAATTTTGGAGTATCCGTTTAATATCTACGCGGGATGACAATTTGTGATGTGGTGGAAAATGTCCAAAATCATGGACTAGAGTCAACAAAAGTTTGGAAATCTGGACTCTTCATAAGATTTTCATGCGAGACATTAATTTGTGACTTGGTCAAAAACAACAAAAAATGGGTTATAGTCCACATCTTCGATAATTCATGTATTACACTTCTTCCTGCTGGATGACACATTCACAGGATTTGTTTGTGCTTCCCTGCAAAGAATAAGAGTGGACATTCACGATAAGAGGAGATAACACAAGAACAGAGAGCAACAGTACAGCCGCAACAGAAGTATACCATGCATGATAATACATACTACAAGTAAACATAAACAATAATGAAAATAATGCACCTTCTGCAAAACGCTTAAGGGCTACGTTCAGAATCTTACAATGAAGGAGACATTCTTATTCGAGTAATATAAGAATACATGAAAGTAAGTGCTCCTTTGTGAGCTATGCAAGCTGCCTGTAAGCGGGGAGGCAGTTCTCTTATATTCCTAGTTGAAGCCAAGCTGCCAATAAATTGAGAGAGTATGTCCCCAAAGTGTTGAGAAGCCTACAAATGATTTTTAGAAAAATAAATATGCTGTACATACCACTAGGCATACAAGAATTCAAATACCTATCCGATGGAGAATCATTCTTGCAGCGCAATTGAAATTATCGAGAACATAAAATAAAAAGAAGTAGCCTAACCTCCCTTGAAAACTCTGTTGGAAGAATGTCGACAGCAGAACATATCATCCCATCGCCTTCCATATCATCATGATAGGAATCAGCGAAAGGGTCCTATCTGGTAATCAAAATAAATCTCTTAAAAGAATGGACTCTTGGAAACTA